GTGTGGGGTCGGAGAGAGAGTACATGAGGGGGAGCATTGCCTTACGTGGGACTACCTTGGCCGTGATCCTGGTTCAAATCTCGAACACTGAATGTGGTTCCCTGAGCACCACCAAGAGTCAGTCTTGAGCACAGAACAGGAATAACCACGGAAAACCAAAGGTTCAACTCTGCCCTCATTCCCTCTGCGGGTTGGTGGGAAGGAGGGAGCCAGAGAGAGAAAGAGAAAACCAGGAGTGTATATCTACCCCCTCCCACCATCACCGCCTCACTCACCCTGGGCATCACCTCCAGAATGCGGCAACACAACTTAAAATGTGATCCACAGTGGAACATATGTGCAGCTGGCAACAACAAGCTCGCTGTAACAGGTGCCTATATCTGGATACAACATGGACATCGGTACCTGGTCACATATGTAGAAAAAGAAATTTAAAGTCAGAGTTAGAGTTTTGCAGAGTAAAATAAGGAGACAGCATCAGTTTCTTTAATTTATTAGCCCCACCCTTCTACCCCCAGCCACCCCCCTGCTTTTTTTTTTTTAAAATTTCATCCTAATAGCACTCTGGTGCAATAGCACAGCGAGTAGGGCGTTTGCCTTGCATGCGGCCGACCCGGGTTCAATTCCTCCACCTCTCTCAGAGAGCCCGGCAAGCTACCAAGAGTATCTCTCCTGCACAGCAAAAGCCTGGCAAGCTACCCGTGATGTATTCGATATGCCAAACACAGTAACAACAAGTCTCACAATTTGTTGTGAGATGTTACTGGTGCCCGCTTGAGCAAATCGATGAACAACAGGAGGACAGTGCTACAGTGCTATAGCACTCTGGTAAACTGGGAATCTTCTTTCTTAGTGACCCATTAATAGATAATCGCTTAGTGGTTTTTAACCTTTTTTTTTTTTTTTTTGGTGGTTTTTACTGGTGATTGGGTCCTGCATTTGCTTATTGGACCAGTGGTTTTCTACCTTTTTCGCCTTTGAACTGGCCCTGGCCTTGAACTGGCAGTTGAAAGCCACAGTGTTTGCTCATGCAGGGTTCCCAGTAGCTGTACTTGACTGTCAACGAAATTTCTTTTTTGTGTAGGATTATTGTGCTTTCTTGCACAGAGCACTTTAAACCATCAGCTTGGGAAATGCTAAGCGTGTGGGGTGGTTCTTTTGCCATCACTAATCATTTATTTAGGTTTTGTTGATAGGTTTTTGTATTTATGTGAGAAAAATAAGGGATCAATGTGAACTGACCCCATGAACCAAATCCAGCCACTTTCCTTTGTTTCAAGACTGTTTGGCAGTTAGGCAGAGTCCCGGAGATTGGGAGGGCCTATGAGGCTGAAGCTGTTTTCTATCCTGGTTTTTCAGAAAAGTGTTTGCCAAGTAAGTCAGTGATGAATCTCTCACTTATTAAAAAAAAATTTTGCGGGGGCTGGGGGGAGGGAACACCTGGAGGTGCTCAGAGGTTACTGCTGACTCTGCACTCAGGAATTACTCCTGGTGGTGCTGGGGAACCATATGGGATGCCGGGGATCGAGCCCTGGTTGGCCATGCGCAAGGCAAGTGCCTACCCACTTTACTACCTCTCTGGACCCTAAGATTAATTTTTGTTATTATCACCCTTCCAGCTGTTGGTGTTTTGCTGTTCTGACTGGGCTCGCGTGTACTTCTCTTGCTCTGAAAAGTCTGTGGTGCTGGCGCGTGCGGTACCCCTCTGCCTTCTCAGTCTGGGCTCTTGCAAGTCGTTGGTGGTACTCACAGACCTGGGTGCAGAGCTGCCAGGATCACACATGGGCACTGGGGAGCTGACTCAGCCTCATGTTTCAGGGTCACTGAGCCGTCTACTGCCCCAAAACGCTTCCATGTTAATTTTTTTAATGTTAATGTCAAAAGAGCAGATGGTTAAAATCATTGAAAGTAGGTGTGATGGTTACAAAATATTTACTAAATTATATTTACATATGGGATAAAACTATTTTACTCAAAATATATTTTAGTAGGCAGTATGTAAAGTTTTTATACTTTTAAAAGCGTTTGGTTCAAGGGCCTGTGGTAAGGCGCCTGCTTTGCATGGAACTGACCCTGGTTTGCCAGCACCATTTTGGTCTTTCAGCACTGCCCAGGATCACTCCTGACAAGCAAGGAATAGCCTCTGAACACCGTCAGGTGTGACCTTAAACCCCTCTCTGCCCCCCCCTTTTTTTATTTCCTACGGGGGTTGAGGTGCTGTGGCTAGGAGTGACCCTTGAGCACAGAGCCCGGAAGAGTCCAAAAGGGCCTCCTTCCCCACTAACAAAAGAAGAACATTCGGTTAATTTCCACTGTTACAGATATTACCTCACAGACAACAGACTAATCAGTTTCGGTCAGTTGCTATTTTCATTTGTGGAACTAATATGTAAAGAATAAAAGTTTGCAGCCAGAGAGATTGTGCAGTGGGCAAGGCACTTGCCTTGCATGCGGCCAACCCATCCCGGGCACCCCATTTGGTTCCCCGAGCCCCAAGAAGTGATCCCTGAGTGCAGATCCAAGAGTAAGCCCTGAGCACCACTGGGTGTAGTCCCAAACCCAAAATAACCTAAAGTGTAGAATGTAGCCCCTCCCTGTGCGAGATCCCTGAACAGTTCAGATGTTATATCATTCTCAAGCTTTGAGAGGAGCTGCTCACTCTCTCCAGGAAGGAGGTTTCTCCTCAACCAGGAAACTGCTGGAGGCCCAGCTCTGGCTTAGTTTTGAGAGGGCTTTGATTTTAGTACCTTAATGGTATTACGGGGGCTGGAGCAATAGCACAGCCGTAGGGCGTTTGCCTTGTGTGCAGCTGGCCTTGCCGAGCCGGGTTCGATTTCTCCGCCCCTCTTGGAGAGCCCGGCAAGCTACCGAGAGTATCTTCGCCTGCATGGCAAAGCCTGGGAAGCTACCCGTGACGTATTCCATATGCCAAACAGAGTAACAAGTCTCACGATGGAGATGTTACTGGGCCCGCTTGAGCGGATCGATGAACAACAGAAGGACTGTGACCGTGACCTAATGGTGTCACTATTCTGTTTTCTTTCCTAATTCTAAATAGTAACTTTGTTTTGGGGGTTTGGGGGGCTATACCCAGCATAGCTCAGGGCTCACTCCTGACTCTGTGCTCAGGAATCACCCGTAACAGGACTCCAAATATGCTACAGGGTGCCAAGAATTGAATCCTGGTCTCAGGTTGGCCACAAGCAAGGCAGATGCCCTACTTGTTACACTGTCATTCCAACTCCCATCTAAACAGTAACTTTTTTTTTTTGGTTTGATTTTGGGGCCACACCCAAACACCTGAGCTCAAGGATCACTCATAGTGGGACTCCAGGAAACATGGGATGCTGGGGATTAAACTCAGGTTTGACACTTGCAAGGCAAATCTATATCTCCCCCCAAAAACAGTAACTTTTTTTTTTGTAATGATTTTTTTAAAATTGAGGCTCCATGAGATACACAGTTACACTGTTCATGGTTTGGGTTTTAGTCAAAGTTCATGGTTTGGGTTTTAGTCATACAAAGTTCCAACACCCAACCCTTCAACAGTGTACATTTCCTGACTCTAATGTCCCCAGTTTTCTTCCTTGTCCCTGTCCCTCAACCTGCCTCTGTGGCAGACACTTGTCTTCTGTCTCTCTCCTTTTTTAGGCACTGTGGTTTGTAATACTGTTATCGAAAGGGTAGCGCACATATACCTTACCTCCTTCCAGCACTCTTTTCTTGTCCAGAGTGATCATTTCCAACCATCATTGTCACAGTGGTCCCTTCTTTGTCCTAATTGCAATCCCCCACAACTTGTGGCTGGCTTCCTACCATGGACCAATACTCCTTGCCCTTGTTTCTATCTTTGGGTATTATTTGCATAGTGTATTTTTATATATATCACAAATGAGTGAGATCATCTTATGTCTGTCGCTCTCCCTCTGATTCATTTCACTCAGCATGAAACTCTCCATGTCCATCCACGTAGAACCAAATTTTGTGAATTTGTTTTCCCTAATGTCTGTGTAGTATTCCATTGTGTTGATGTACTATAGTTTTTTTTTTTTTAAATCCAGTCATCTGTTCTTGGGCACTTGGGTTGTTTCTAGATTCTGGCTATTGTGAATAGTGTTGCAGTGAACATAGAAGCGCAGATAACTTTTCTGCAATGTGTTTTTTGGGCCCCAGAGTATATTCCCAGGAGCCATATTGCTGGGTCATGTGAAATCTCGATTTCTAGGTTTTTGAGGAATATATATATTGCCCAAACTGTAACTTTTTAGCTTCCTTTGCTTAAAAGGATTTTTCTTCCTAGGGGTTTTTTTTCATTTTTCATTTCATCATCCTGTTAATCGTCGATTGCCTCGAGCAGGCCCCAGTAACGTCTCTTTCATCCTAGCCCTGAGATTATATTCACGGCTCTTTAGGAGAATGAGACCCATCATTGTTACTGGTATTTGGCATATTTGGTACGCCACGGGAAGTTTGCCAGACTCAACCTGTGGGCAGGCTACATTCAATAGCCTGCAAGTTTGTCCAAAGTAGGAATGAGATAATAAGATGTCATAATAAAAAATTCTGATAAGATGTCATTCGCGGCCGCACGGTTCCGGGATGTGGTTTTTATAGTCTCTGAGTCTTGGCCGCTGATGGAATTACACGGCGCCAGGGGGCCAGGTGGTGGGTGTGACCCCCGCCTGCTGGAATTTGGAGGATCTGGATGGAAGATGCTCGACTCCAATCCGAGTAGGCTTGGAGGTCTCGGCCCCGGAACCCGCGTGGCTTTGTCCCTCTGCCAGTACCTTCATGTGTGCGGAGAGTGGTCTCAGCATGGTGGTGGCTGGTCCTGGAGGTCTTCGGCTGCCGGAGCCCCGGTCGGGGCGGGGAGGAAAGCTCAACCCGCTGCCCTCCAAGGGGTCCCGGCGAGGGACACCCAGGCGCAGGGGCAAAAGGGGGTTTATTGAGGCTTATTAATTGTTAGATCCATAGATTAATAAGCTTCATTGTATTTTCAGGTATTTCTTGCAGTCGCATTCACATACCTGTTTTAGGAAGATTTGGGACCTTTGAGACTCAAATTCTACGAAGAGCTCCTTTTAGAACTTTTACAGAAACACCAGCATACTTTGCCTCAAAAGATGGGACAAGTAAAGATGGCTCTGGAGATGGAAATAAGGTGATTATTTTGTCTTTGGCATCTCTGTACCAGTTTAAGTTCTATTAAGTTCCCTTCTTTAAAACAATAAATTATTATAATTGTACTTTATGTTTCATTACTTTATATGTGTGTGTGTGTGGTTTTGATGGGGGGACTGAGGAGGTTTGGGTTCATACCTGAGGTGATGCTTCTGGCTCTGTGCTCAGTCAGGGATCACTCCCAGCTATATTCAGGCTATCCGCCACTCAGCCTTTTGATATGTATATCTCTGGCCCTATATCTTTGGCCTCTAAATGTTTTTTGTAGGAAATACAAATTATATAAAGTCTGAAGAACAGTGGGCACTTTTGTACTTCCTGTTTGAATCATAAAAGTTCAAGTTAAAATTTTTAACACCCCCAAAACAGTAAAAAAGATTCATTAAAAGGGTTGGATAGTATGGTGGATAGTCTTGCATACCACTAAATCTGGTTCAGTTCCCATCACCATATACAGTTCCCTGAGCAGCATAAGGAGTGATCCCTGAGCACTACCAGAAGTAGCCTGAACACAAACAAAAAATAAGGTTCGTTAGATTATGTAGGCAAGCTGTAGAGTTGAATTAGAAATAGCCATTATTTCTTGCTTTTGCAATTCTTAACACTTCATGATAAATCCTACTTTATAATCCAAAAATCTTGACTATCATAGACCTAATATTGGGCTACTCTAGCAAGTAAATTGTTGATGACTGTATTGGACCTGAATTATCAATATTTATATTATGTTAACTTGGCTAAAGAGATAATTTTACATGCAAGACAGAGTTGTAGATTCTACACTTCTGACATTGATACTCTGAAGTAGGTAAAATTTTCCCCTGTTTTAGAAATGAGAAAATTTACATTCTTGAAAGTTAAGAGATATTGCTTACCCTGATAGGAATTTCTGATTCAGTATTGTTGAAATACAGTTTCTAAAAAGCTGTGGTAGTGGAGGCTAGAGATAACTCAGCGGACTGGAGTGTGTCCTTTGCATGTAGGAGGCTGCGATTCAGTCCTGGAAGTGTATGAAGTTAACGCTGGATGTAACCCCCAAACAACAATAAAATAAAACTAGGGACTGAAGAGACAGTCCATGGTTAAGGCATGTAGCTGACCTGGGTTATATCCTTAACACAACATTTATTCCCCTGAGCATCACCAGGAGTGACCCCTGAGCATAGGAGTGAACCCTGAGTTTTGGGTATCACCCCCAAACCAAAACAATAATGATAATAATAATTAAAAATCCTAGGGTCTTTATTAATTTTCAATAAAAGAGCTATAGATTAGTAGACAAGCCAAAATGTGTGCACAGAGGTACCTTTTTTATTGTGCCTTACAGATAATGCATTTTTTACAAAATCTTCCACCTGCAAGAAGATTCCAACTCACCAAATGCTCAGATATTGCTTAATCACTTTTAGCAGTAATAGGCCGAAAGATAGGACGGGTTTAGGCACTTGCCTTGCGTATGGCCAAACTGGTTCAATCCCTGGCACTGCATATAGTCTCCTGAGTACTGCCAGGAGTAATCCCTGAACACAGTTGGGTATAACTCCAAACCCACCCCTTAAAGAAACATTTTTTAGGGCCAGAGTGCTAGTATAGCAAGTAGGATGCTTGCCTTGTACTTGGCCTATCTGGGTTTGATCTCCGGCATTTTATGGTCCCTGGAGCATTGCCAGGAGTGATTCCTGAGTGCAGAGCCAGGAGTAACTAACCCCTGAGCATTGCCAGGTATGACCGCCAAACCAAAAAAATAAAATAAAATAAAAACACTTGCCTCATCTCCTACTAGCCCCTATTTCAAATCCTGTGACCACATAAAGTCCTCTGAGCTCTGCTAGGGGTCACTCCTGAGCAAAGCCAAGAATAGCCCTTGAGTAACTTTGGGTGGGATCCAACATTCTTCTCCCTCAAGTTAAGATATACAAATTGATTTTTCAAACATAAAATTATTGTACACTTAGTAGTCTACTGTAATGTAAGCATAACTTTTCTGTGCACTGGGAAACCAAAAAATGAATCTGGTCTGTTTAATTACAGTGTTTGCTTTAATTCAGTGGTGGGGAATTGAGTGTGTTTTCTTCTTGGACTGTTGGTAGCTTGACCGAATCATAGAGATGAAAGAGGGCGATAAACCAATTCGTCCTCGTTGGGTACACTGAGCCCATATTGAAGTGGCTTAACTTATGTCATCTTTCCACATGCATTTTCCCCTAGTGCTTATTGAAAGAAAGTTATACTTGCTGGCATCATGGCATGTGAAGAAGAAACATAGATAAATTTCACTAAACTGTTCACTAATCTGTTCACTAAAATGGATTTTAATTTTTATCTTTTGACACCAGTGATATAAAGATAGAATTGTACTAATTCCATTTGTAGGAACTGGAGAGATAGTATCGCAACTAGGACACTTGTCTTGCACACAGTTGACCCTGTTTCAATCCCAGCGCCCCATGTGGTTTTCATAACCCCTCCAGGAGTGATTCCTGAGTGCAGAGCCAGGATTAAGTCCTGAACGCCCCCAGTAGGGCCACAGAAATTTCTGTTTGTGAGAATTGTAAGAATTATGGTATTAATTATAAACCATCACTTATAAGTTGCCTATAAAATAATGTATGCTTTCTTTCCTTCTCCACAAACATCAGAAATCTGTGAGCGAGGGAAGCAGTAAGAAGTCAGGCTCTGGGAACTCTGGGAAAGGTGGAAACCAACTGCGCTGTCCTAAATGTGGTGATTTGTGCACCCATGTCGAGACTTTTGTGTGTAAGTATTTTCTTTCTCCCCTGCTTTATCTGTACATTGTCAACCGTGTCAAAATGTATATAAATTACCTAATGGTATTTTCTTCAGGAGAGCATATGATTTTTTCTCCTATGCTTTACAAATACTAAAAAAATTCCAGGACTGATAATACTTTGCTCCAGGATCTGAGACAATTTAAGAAAATTATTTGTGGAGCTGGAACCATAGTACAAACAGTATAGCACTTTCCTTGCACTTGGCTGATCCGGGTTCAATCTCCAGCATCCCATATGGTCCCCTGAGCACTGCCAGGAGTATATTTCTGAGTGCAGAGACAGGAGTAACCCCTGAGCACTTCCAGGTGTGGCTCAATTTTCCCTCCCACCCTGCCCCCCCAAAAAAAGAAAAGGAAAAGAGAAAAACTTTGCTTCTTTTACTCTCGTGTGTGTGTTTCAAATTTGGATTTTATGATCTTTCATAAAATCATGTTGATTATTAAGCAGTAGAATAGACTTTTTTTTTTTTTAAATTAGTGAAACACCATGAGGTACAGTTGTAGACTTACAAACTTTCATGCTTGGGTTTCAGTTATACAATGATCGAGTACCCATCCCTCTACCAGTGCCCATTCTCCACCACCAATGATCCCAGTAGCCCTCCCACACCTTACCCCATCCCCCCCCCCCCGCTTCTGTGGCGGGGCATTCCTTTTTTCTCACTCTTTTTTTTTTTTGCTTTTTGGGTCACACCCAGCAATGCACAGGGGTTCCTCCTGGCTCTGTGCTCAGGAATTACCCCTGGCGGTACTCAGGGGACCATATGGGATGCTGGGAATCGAACCCAGGTTGGCTGCGTGCAAGGCAAACGCCCTACCCGCTGTGCTATTGCTCCAGCCCCTTTCTCACTCTTTAGGGTGTTGTAGTGTGCAATAGAGGTATTGAGTGGCCATCGTGTTCGGTCTATAGTCTACTTTCAGCACACTTCTCACATCCCAAGCGAGTCCTCCAAAAATCTTTTACTTGGTGTTCCCTTCCCTATCTGAGCTGCCTTAGAATAGGCTCATTTTATGTTTTTCCACTCTTCACATGCCACTTGGCATCTCCTTGCAGTTAAGAGATCAGCCATTCACGTAGTAAAGGTTTCTCTCAATCCAGTGGAATCAACCTGGGGACCTATGAGAAGGAAGAAAGCAGCAGCACTACTTTCTTTGGCTGTTTAGTGTCAGTAACTCAAAAGTGCAAAGATGTCAGGGCTGGGGCAGTAGTACAGTGGGTAGGGTGCTAGCCTTGCATGTGACTGACCTGCGTTCAATCCCTGGAACCCTACATAGTCCCCCAACTCTACAGGAGTGATCTCTGAGCACAGAGCCAGATGTAAGCCCTGAATACAGCTGTGCCCAACCCCCAAAACCAAAAATAAAATGAAAAGTTGCCACCCTGCATATTTTGTTTAGTGTATCAAATAAGCCATTTCCTACATGATTAGAATTCACATTAATGCCCTTGAAGCATTAATGTTACTGGGGCTGGGTTGGTAGTACAACGGGTAAGGCGTTTGCCTTGTGTGTGGCTGATCTGGGTTTGTTTCCCAGCATTCCATATGGTCCCCTGAGCACTGCCAGGGGTAATTCCTGAGTGTAGAGCCAGGAATAAGTCCTGAGCATCGCCAGGTGTGACCCCCCCAAAAAAAAGAAAAAAAACATTAATGTTACAGGTGACTGGGCATGTAGTTCATTGGTAGACCATTTGCATAAATGAATGAGTCAATGAATGAATGACAGTGTGCACCACAGAAGCCTTCTATCCTTCAGTTCTGAAAAGATCAATTGCTGGTTTGTATGAATTCTCAGTTTCTCATTAGCTGAAGAGGATTCTCTTTGAACCTAATTGCAAGGGTTTATATTAATAATAATTCACCAGTTTGTGGGTGTGCTGGGTCTGGTGGCCCCCAGTCACTGTGGGTATGTGGTCTTGGAGGCCCAGGGTCACTGTGGGTGTATGGTCCTGGAGACCTCCAGTCACTGTGGGTTTGTGGTCCTGGGGACCCCTGGTCATTGTGGGTGTGTGGTCGTGGAGGCCCCGGATCACTGTGGGTGTATGTTTATTGGTGATCACGCTTCTTGTTTCGGGAAAGGCACAAGTGGACTTTAAAGGGTCCCTTCACACATAATTCTAAATGGCTGCAAGGTAGAGGTGACGCCACCAAGAGTGACTACCTGTTGCATCTGGATTTTCATGGAGAACTCACTTCATTCATTGTGTGACCTCCGAAACTAATATGAGTGAGTGGCTGTCTGAGTGCCTCCGTGCAAATGGGCAGTACAGTTTAACCGGTGTGGAAAGAGGGGCGTCTCACATGCCGCGCGAATCAGGCGCGACAGCTTTGCTGCCGCCTGCTCCCTGGGCACTAGTGACTAGTGACTGGTGGAGTGACAGTGCAGCAGCTCTGAACAAACTGCAGTTGGGCTCTTAGAATTCTTGCTCCCCACTCCCCATGCAGAGCATGAGGAGACAAAGACGTGTCCATGTGCCACCCGTAAGTGCAGTGCTGCTCTGCCTACCTTTTTGGCTTTTTGGGTCACACCCGGCAATGCTCAGGGGTTACTCCTGGCTCTGCACTCGGGAATTACTCCTGGCAGTGCTTGGGGAACCATATGGGATGCTGGGAATCAAACCCAGGTTCACTGTGTGCAAGGTAAACACCCTACCCAGTATACCATCACCCCGGTCCCTCTGTTTACCTTTTAAGTGTTGTGACAAACAGAATTATAGCACGCAGTTGTTACGATAAAAGCCTATAAACCAACCTTTGTTCAGTGAAATAGGTGTGACAGTTACACTGTGGGCATGATTATGTGGTAAAATGCAGTACCTGCTTTCTGAAAATATTCTATACAATAAGCTATTTGAAAGAGAGGTAAAGATCCAGTCATGTAACTCCAGTACTGTTTACTATTATAATCACTGTATTATTAGTTCTGGTTAATCCCTTGCTGTGCCCATTTAGAAATTAGACTTAAATGTACATATATCTAGAGCTTGGTAGTATCCAGAGCCTGGGAACCTGGGAAGGTAACCTTTGTGATAAGAGGACACTAGTCGTCACTTTGGTGGATACAGAGCAAAAGCAGCTGTGATGTCTTTTTTTTTTGAAGTAAATAGATTTTATTTGGAGGATTTTTAGGTGTGGAGGGAGAGAGAGAGTGAGAGAGTAACGTACTCAAGCGAGAACACGGGCTTCTCCAAGGGCGGAGGGAGCCCCTACACACATCCTAGCATTAGACATGAAAGCATGAAAGTACACATCCCAAGAGGGGAGATGCGGGTGACACATGTGCTCAGGCACCACCTGTGCTCGGCCACGTGGGCGCAGCAGCACATGGGCTCAGGCAGCATATGCGCCAGCTGTGATGTCTTTAGTAACTGAATATAAATGGATGAACATGAACACAAACTTTGTATTTAATCACTGCAGTTCGAATTCCATATAATTTTTTCCCTGAGCAAAGTTCTCTTAGCCATGTCAGGTGATAGATCTCTTGGGGGCCCCGATAATGCTCAGAGCAGCTAGGGGCCATTCCTGGGGTTCTTGGCCAACTAGGTTGATGGTTCAGTGCAGAGGCCCAAGAATGTGGTGCTGATTGAATGTGGTGCTGATTGGATCCTGCAGTGTCAGGAACCACTAGGACCACCATAGGTGTGGTTGGGGTCCCCAGGACCACACCCACCAGTGAGGCATCCAGAGCCATACCCAGCAATGCTAGGGAGGCGTGTTATGGAGAGGAGTTAGCTGATGAGAACTGCCCCCTCTGCTATCTCCCTAGCCTCAATAGCAGATTTGCTCCATTTCTTATCAACGCACAAGGCAAATGATTTAATTCTGAGGTTGGAATTTAAAGTATTTATGACTTTCTAAGTTATTTAATTATTTAATAATGTAAATATTGTCTCCAGTGGTTGGGACAATAGTACAACGAGTAGAGCACTTCCCTTGCACATGTTTGATCCCAGTTTGATCCCCAGCATCCCTTATGGTCCCCAAGCACCACCAGGAGTTGTCTCTGAATGCAGATCCAGGAATAAGCCCTAAGCACTGCTGGTTGTGATCCAAATACAGGCAAACAAACAAAAGCATCGAAAATTAGTTTGCCAAACATGACTGACTATTTTTTGGTTCGTTTTTGTGCTCAGGGCTTCTCCTTGTTCTATATTCAGGGATCACTGCTGGCGGGGCTCAGTACCATATGTACTGCGTACTATCAAACCCTAGTTGTACTGTTTCTCTAGCCCCACTTTTAAACCAGAGTTGCTTTTGTTATTATGTATACTGTCACTGTCACTGTCCTCCCCTTGTTCATCGATTTTCTCAAGCTGGCCCAGTAACATCTCCATTGTGACACTTGTTACTCTGTTTGGCATATCGAATACGTCATGGATAGCTTGCCAGGCTTTGCTGTGTGGGTGAAATACTCTCGGTAGCTTGCTGGGCTCTCTGAGAGGGGCGGAGGAATAGAATTGAACCCAGGTCGGCTGGGTCGGTCGCGTGCAAGTCAAACGCCTTACCCACTGTGCTATTGCTCTAGCCCATATACAATACCTTTCACTTGAAGTGAAAAATTAAAATTTAAAAATTAAATATTTCTGCAGTAAGGTGAAGGTAAAGGTAAAGGCCTCCCGTTGATCATCGATGTGCTCGAGCGGGCCCAGTAACGTCTCCATTGGAGACTTTATTGTTACTGTGTCTGGCATATCGAATACGTCACGGGGAACTTGCCAGGCTCTGCCGTGCGGGCGAGATACTCTCAGTAGATTGCTGGGCTTTCCGAGAGGGGCGGAGGAATCGAACTCGGGTGGGCCATGTTGGCTGCGTGCAAGGCAAACACCCTACCGATGGAGATTATATGTACTCTGAAACTTCCTCAAAATCCATGAAAAGCAAACAACCTTGAGAAGAAAATTTTTTTTAAGATTAATCTTTCTATTGGCATGCTATGTATGTGAGAATGTTTCTTGGAGACAGTATCCTATGTACAAATAAAGGAATATAGATTACTTACTTGAGTCTGGCGCCTTAGACCACTCGGCCATCTGGAGCTATAGCACAGCGGTAGGGCATTTACCTTGCGTGCAACTGGCCTGGCCGAGCCAGGTTCGATTCCTTCGCCCCTCTCAGAGAGCCCAGCAAGCTACCGAGAGTATCTTGCCCGCACGGCAAAAACCTGGCAAGCTCCCCGTGACATATTCGATATGGCAAAAACAGTAACAACAAGTCTCACAATTTGTTGTGAGATGTTACTGGTGCCCGCTTGAGCAAATCGATGAACAACAGGAGGACAGTGCTACAGTGCTACAATATACATACACATTATGTTTTATATGTGTATAAATATATATACTATATATGTAAGGTAAGGTAAGGTAAAGGCCCTCCTGTTGATCGTCGATTTGCGTGAGCGGGCCCAGTAACGTCTCCATTGGAGACTTTGTTGTTACTGTGTCTGGCATATCGAATACTCTCGGTAGCTTGCCGGGCTCTCCGAGAGGGGCAGAGGAATCGAACTCGGGTCGGCCATATTGTCCGCTTGCAAGGCAAACGCCTTACCCACTGTGCTATCGCTCCATATGTATGTATTTATATATTATAAAGATATATACAGTACTATTGTATTTTGTTTCTGAAATTACATTTTGATAAAAAATGAATCCTTGGTTGAACATGTGTTGTACTTGAGCATGTTTTAAACTGTACTGCAAATATTCCAGCAGAATTTGAACAGCCCTTTCAGCAGTAAAGAGAGAGGGATGTGTTTTGTTTGTGTTTAATCTCTTTCCCTTTGACCTAATTTCTTTATGGAAATATTTTGTTCTTGTGTTCCCAAGCCAGACTTTCCTGTCACACTGCCTAAACTAGATCAGCGTCCTCTCTGCCCTTTAATCCCTGCTCTCTGTTTAGAATCCGCAACACTTGGGAAGGGACTGGCAATGTAGCATAAATCGCTGACTGTCTTTTTGGGGAGACATAGTGGTTAGTACTGTATTTGTGTTAAACTGGGAGTAGCTTGATCTCTTTCTGCTTTTGGTTAGCATTTGTAAGTGATCAAGAAATAGATCCTGGCCAGAGCGATAGCACAGTGGGTAGGGCATTTGCCTTACACGTGTCTGACCCAGGTTTGATCCCTGAATCTCATATGGTCCCTGAGCACTATAAGGAGTTATTCCTGAATGCAGAGCCAGGAGTAAATCCTGAACATAACTGGGTGTGACCCCCCCTCAAAAAAAAAAAAAAGCAGTAATGACTCTTCTAGATTAAGATTTTTTTTTTTTTTGGGTCACACCAGACCATGCACAGGGGTTGCTCCTGGCTCTGCACTTCAGGAATTACTCCTGGTGGTGCTTGGGGAATCATATGGGATGCTGGGAATCGAACCCAGGTCGGCCGCGTGCAAGGCAAATGCCCTACCCGCTGTGCTATTGCTCCAGCCCCTTCTACATTAAGATTTGCTGCTAGAATTTAGTTAGCATGTGTTTTTGATTGGCCTTCTGTTTGAGTAGACACAAAATTAAATTGAATTACTGATTGGGGTTTTTTTTTTTCCCTTAAATTACAAAATTGTCTCTTATTTGCTGTTCCTGGCTCTGTGCTTGCGGGGATTGCTCATGGCCATGCTTGGGGGACCATGCAGTGCTCTACCCGCCCTCCCTTTTTTTTTAAAAAATAGGACAACTCAGTGAAGTTGGGAAGAGGCCATGTGGTGTGGGGGATTGGATCCAGGCATGTCCTGAGCTCCCAGAGCTATGTCTCCAGCACTTTAAATTTAGATTGTTCTGGGAAGGTTTGGGTGTGTTTGCCAGGACCATTCTGTTCGGGTACTTCATGAATGGGTAGCTGGAGTCCCAAAAAGACTCCTAGATTAAAATCATGTGTTGCCTTTGCAGTTTTACCTGTTTAATTAGATTATACAAAGGTAACACAAAGGTATTGCTTAGACCTACTAATATATAACTAATTCCTTTGTGTCTTTTCTCTGTATCTATCAAGAGTCTGTGGGAGTTTTTTCCTTGCTGCTTTCTGAGATCCCTAGTCACCATTAGAGGGGTAGGCTAGAAAAGGTTGAGAATGTTGGTCCATCTGTCTTCAGCCATATTTTACAAAGAACAGCACAGGTTGTTCTATAGGCTATATATTGAAATGGAGAAACTCGTTTTTCAAAAATTTTGGGCCATGCTGGTAGTGCTCAAGGATCACTCCTGGCAGGGATCAGGGGACCTTTTATTGTGCTGAGTGCTGGGTATTGAACTAGAGTTAGCGACATGCATGGAAAACCCCCTCCCCACTACCCACTGTACTCTCTGGCCCCAAGAGGAACACTTTTTTTTGGTTTGGTTGTTTTTTTGGTTTGGAGTTTTTTTTTGTTTGGTCACACCCAGCAATGCTCAGAGGTTACTCCTGGTTCTGCACTCAGGAATTACTCCTGGCAGTGCTCAGGGGACCATATGGGATGCTGGGAATCAAATTCAGGTTGACTACAGTACAAGGCAAATACCCTACCTGCTGTACTGTTGCTATCACCCCCTGGAACTCACTTTTTTATTGTTTTTGGGCTGCACCTGTTGGCGCTCAGAGCTTCCTCCTGCCTCTGTACTCAGGGATCATTCCTGTCAGGGCATGGGGGACCATCTGGATGTGCCTGGGATCAAACCCACGGTTGACTGCATGCAAGGCAAGTGCCTTACTCAACATACTATTTCTCCAGCCCCTTTTATTCTCTCTTTTAACTGCAATTACATTATTTTCAAAAGTTTAATTATTAAATTAAGTCAGTATGACTAAGAAAGTTATGTTGTTAAATCCTTAGTGACTTTTAAGGGTTATAAGGAGAAATTAGTGTTGAACAAGGTATGAAATAATGTTGTTATATATTTAACAAATGAAGGTTTTAAAAATAATCTAAGTTGAAAATAACCTAATACATACCTTGGGATTGGAGTGATAGTACAGTGAGGTAGGGTGTTTGCCTTGAATGTGGCTGACCCAGATTAGATTCCTGGCATCTCATATGGTCCCCCAAATACTACCAGGAGTAATTCCTGAGTGCAGAGCCAGTGATAACCCTGGAGTATCACTTGGTGTGACCCAAAAAACAAAACCATCTTTAGGCATTAAAAAATTTATCTCCTTTAACTTTTTTGTATTATGAAATTTTTCATAAAGTCTTGAAAATATACATGAATTTACTTTTTTTTACTGCTTTTCCAATATTTCACTAAAATGATTGCTTAATGTTTAGTGTTGGTTTTAAAATTAACTTTAGTAAGAAGTTGAAGGAATGTCAACTAATCCCTTCTCTAAGTAAAGTTTATCACAAAGTGAAAGAACCTAGTAGAAATGCACAATTGTAGTTTACTGAATTCATGTGTCTTTATCTTTATCATAGGTGAAAACTAGACTCTTGTGGCTAGTGGAGTGAAGTACAAGCCTACTTTTTGTTAAGTACATAGTTTTTATTTTCAGTGCGTCTTTAAGGTTAAACACTACTCCAGTTATTTTGTTTTCTTTGCTGACCTTTCTCTCCTTTTTCAGCATCAACCCGTTTTGTGAAGTGTGAAAAATGTCATCATTTTTTTGTTGTGCTGTCTGAGGCTGACTCAAAGAAAAGCATAATTAAAGAGCCAGAGTCAGCAGCGGAGGCTGTGAAATTGGCATTTCAACAAAAACCACCACCTCCCCCCAAGAAGGTAGGAATCATGGCTCAGTCTTACAAGCATTTCACCCTGAAAACATTTCATTGTCTTTTTCTCCCCTGTTTCTATGGAATCCTAATACTCTCTAAACTGGCATTGTAGTTCATTAGGTATTGTGTCTGACTAAATTGTTATTGCCATGCCAGGATAATGGCGTTCACCAGCAATGAAATACATGGGCTGATGACCAAGTTACTGTTACTGCTAATAGAAAATTTTATCTTCAAAATAGAGCAGCTATAAGTTTACTTTTATTAGTTTGGACCACAACGTAGCACCAGCCTACACCCTCACACCCCATTTTACCCTACTTTGAGGTTAAACAGACTCAGCCTAATGGTGCACACAAATCATTTTTCTCTGTTCCGTGTGCCAGGCCCTGGCCTGGAGTCTCGCTGCGGTTTGACTGCGGCCCTGTAGCGGCCCGGCAGTGTGCTTTCAGGCCTGCTCACACGTGCAGATTCTTCCCCCCCAGAGCCTCAGCGTCCCACTGCCCTGCTCCACCTGCCAGTCACCTGGGGGAGATTTCTTCCTTCCTGTGTGTGATTTATGAGGCACAAAGATACTAAAAATAGATGGAACAAAAGGTATATGGTTACCACTCAAGAATTTGTCATGTGAAAAAAAGGATGTAGTGGAAAATATAGCTGGTAAGTTTTTCTACTCTCTGCTCCCTTGCGTTGATTTTAGTCATCCGAGTCAGCCTTCTAGAAAATAAACAGAAAATTGAACTCTTTGCAGGCGTTAGTAAAATTTAACAGTTGAATTTTATTACTTTGAAGGAATTTACCCCACATTCCAAGCAGCATGTAAGTATTGACGAGAGGTTTAGTTCTCTTCTAAGAATAAAACTTTAGATAGAGATTTTGCTATATGAGTAGCTTTAAATGTATATCTAATGCATGGGATAAAATACTGTAGGGGCCAGAGAAATTGCTCATTGGACTTACTTTGTATGCATGAGGCCTGAGTTGAGTCTATCCCGAGCACCACGTGGTTCCCCAAGAAGGAGCATTCCCTGAGCACCAAGCCTTGAATAGCCCCTGAACACTGCCAGGTGTGGCTCTACACCCCTACCTTCAACCACCTCCCCACATACACCCCCGTATACAGACACACACACACACACACACACACACACACACACACACACACACGCCCTTGTGAATTGAAATGAAAGTGAACATGGCCTACTGGAATACTAATTTCAGAAAAAAAAAACCAGCTCTCCACTAGAAGTCAGCCGTCTTTAGGTAGACAAGAAGAAAACCTTTTAGGCTACTACTGACCCCCTAGTTGCTCCAGCATCCCCCACCCCTAAGGGTGCTATTACCCACCTTGGGAAAGGGAGGTCTTAAAAATAGCACAGTATCTGAGAAAAAGCAAAATGAGTAATATTAAAACACATAGGTATTGGAGTATAATAGTGTTTGATTATATAATGCTATATTTTAAATAGGTACCCTTGGGGCAGGAGAGACCAGGACAGGGGTGAGGCACTTAACCCTGGAGGCTGCTGATCCAGATTCTATCCCCTGCACCACCAGGAGTGATCCAGAGCACTTCCCGATGTGGCCAAAACAAAGCAATAAATCCTAGCCAATATTCCAGTTGAAAGTTGCTACAAGGGAAACCAAAGACCCATCACACTTTGTTTAGTAGATGCCACTAAGAATTTTGGACATTATAATAAACCCTTGTGTTTAAAAGTAAATAGTTTTACTTTGCAGTATGTTACCTCTGTGAAGAATATTTTCATGTGACTTGCAGAGGAACAGAAGGCATTTGTTCTTTGATTATTGAAATTTATGATTGTTTAGACCATGATGATGTGTATAGACGTTCTAAGTGACTTTAATATTTACCTTAAATTGAGGATCATGGCTTTGTTCACAGAATGGCAGTTGACAAAGCACTTAGAGTACAGGGATGCTTTATTAAGCTAGAGAACAAGTAAATTGTGATTTTGTTCAATTAGGGTTTTGGACCTCTAACTTGTTGCTAGATAATATATTGAGTCCTTGCCATTTTATTTTTGGTAAGTCTTTGTTCAAATTTAAAATTCTAAGAAAATATTCTCAATGACTGCTTAATGTGTGTTCTTATGGTACCCACAGTAAATTATCCAATACCTAAATATCTTTTAGATTTATAACTACCTCGACAAGTATGTTGTTGGCCAGTCATTCGCTAAGAAGGTGCTTTCAGTTGCTGTGTACAATCATTACAAGAGAATTTATAATAACATCCCAGCTAATTTGAGACAACAAGCAGAGGTTGAGAAGCAGACATCTTTAACACCAAGAGGTTAGTGTTTTTATAATTGACCAATTAGATGTCACTGTTGCTATGTACAGTCTTGATTTGCAACTCATTGCTTTTATCTTAAAACACTTAAGTATGGTATACCGTTTTCCCATAAATCATTCTACTAAGGAGCAGTCAGCATTTAAATAATTAATAGAAGCAGATAGAAAGTATCTATGTTGAGTGCTGTTTCTTAAAACTTTGGTTTCCAGTTACTTGTCTATGACTTTTGGGTCCCAGAGTAAAATTATTGTTGTTTGATGCCAGAGATCAAACCCAGGGCCCCAGACTTTGCAAAACCAGTGTTCTTCTGTTGAGCTGTATCCTCAGTCCTTAAAGATGTGACTCAGTTTCATCTTTGCCACTGCACAAAAGAAAATATGAAGGAGAAAGTCTTGGCAAAGGTCTCAGTGAAAAATCTTCGGGGCCTTTGGGGTTGAAATTGAGATTGAGGTGTCATCATTGATGTACAAGCTTCACTCTGACTGTTGCCCAGGGCCCAAACCATTTCAGTGCTGGGTCCCCTCTTGAGTTCTTTCCATTTGGGCTTGGGATACAGAATTTTCTTCACCTTCACCGGGAGAAGTAGAGTTGATAATTTTTAGAAAATGTAGCCCACACTTTCCTTTTTGAGGTCCTGCTACAATAGCACTGTAGCTCTTCCCTCCCGTTGTTCATCGATTTGCTCGAGCGGGCACCAGTAATGTCTCCATTGTGAGACTTGTTACTGTTTTTGGCATATCAGATACGCCACAGGGAACTTGTCAGGCTCTGTCATGCGGGCGGGATACTCTCGGTAGCTTGCCGGGCTCTCCAAGAGGGATGGAGGTCTCGAACCTGGGTTGGCCACATGCAAGGCAAACACCCTACCTGCTGTGCTATCACTCCAGCCCCAATAGAGTGCAAGATTAAGGGCAAATTTATAAGTAATACAAAGTAGTTTTACTATTGCTAGATTCTAATATTCTGTCAATCTATTACTCATTAATGTCCATAATAAGAAAAAATGACAGTCATTTCACCTTACTGTGGATATTAATGAGTGTTATATTGATGGAATGGTTTTGTTTTTAACAACTATAAGTAGAATAAAAAGTGAATGCTTAATTTTTTTATTTTGTTGGCTATTGTGCCCTGATTCTGATTTTAGCCTATCTTCTATCATTTTACTTTTTTTTTTTTTTTTTGGCTTTTTGGGTCACACTCAGTGGCACTCAGGGGTTACTCCTGGCTCTGCACTCAGGAATTACGCCTGACAGTACTCTGGGGACTATATGGGAAGCCAAGGATCAAACCCAGGTTAGCCACATGCAAGGCAAATGCCCTACCTGCTGTACTATGACCCCAGCCCCACATTTTACATTCTTTAGTCATCAGTTTACAATTTGAGGGGATTCTGCTAAATATTTATATTTACTAGCTCTAATATCATTTGATTATTTTTAGTAGTTACTAAGTATGTAAATTCAGTGAAAACACCTCTTTTAGGAGCCAGAGAAATAATACAGTGGACACTTAACTTGTGTGCGACTGACCCATACAGTCCCTGGAGCCTTCCTAAGCTCAGAACCAGGAGTGAGTCCTGAGCACTGTTGGGTGTAGCCAAAGAAAAAAGTAAATCATGTTTTGATTTGTTAAACTTACTGCAAAATTCAACACATTTTGTGGTAGAATCAGTTACTTTATTTTTAGAAAGCATAAATTACTATCACTGATGGAAGATTGGACCCTGCATTTTTAATGAAGTTCAAATAGTCTGGGAAAAAACGATTTTTTTTTTTTATGGGTCCTTCAGTCAGCAAGTCTGTAACCTATTTTAGACTCTGGAAAAGCAAATAGTTATGTGGCATTTATATATGGGTGTGAGGTTTAAGCTCTTACTGAACACAAATTATTTCTACCCTTAGGAGAGATGCCAACTTTGTTTTTGGTTTTATAGTATTTTTGTGTTGTTTGATATGTGTATGTATATATATATATAGATTTTTTTTTTTGTCTGTGGGGAGCCCCACACTGGGAGATGCTCAGGGGCAACTCTTGGCTCTGTGCTTGGGGGACCATGTTTAACCTGGCTGCCTTCCACATGCAAAGTATGCACTCTGCCCACAGAGCTTTCTCTCTTTGATCACTACATACCAACTTTTATTATTATTATTATTTTTTGAGCCATATATGGCTGTGATCAAGTCTTAATCCTGGCTCTGTGCTGAGGGATCACTTCTAGGGGACCAATTAGGGTGCCAGGAATTGAACCTGGGTCAGATATGGGTGCAAGGCAGATGCCTTGCCTGTTGTACTATCTCTCCAGTTCCTAGATAACAACTTTGTGTTTGACAGTTGTGAATGTCAGCAAATGGACAGTCTCCATTAACTGTTTCTGTTTTAGTATAAAAAGGCTGTAGTGTATAGTTTCTTTTATAACGTGGAAGTCTAAAAATATTGAGAAACAGTTCTTTTTATATTTGGGTAAAGGCAGGAAATGGGATCCTTGTTTGTTCCTCTGAGCAAATATTTAAGCGTTTCATGTTGCTATCTTCACCCCCTTCCTCAGAGTTGGAGATCAGAAGACGGGAGGATGAATACAGATTCACAAGTAAGTGCCCCTCCTTGGCCTCCCGTAGTCCTGCTTCCTCTGCATCTCTGCCTGCTGAAATGTCAGTGGTGTTTGTATATTGCAACAAAAGATGTTGTATATTACACAAACATGTTTATCATGGTCTATTTAATCATGGATGTTTTTCATAACTTATTTATGTCATTTGTATATGTCGGGCTATTCCAGGTATTTACTCTTTATCTTTTCTGGTTTTAGATCTTTTAATTTTTATCTTTTCTGTTTTTGAAAAACTTGTTTAGTTTAGATGGGGACATGGAGTGTACACCTAGTGTTCAGGGATCACTCCTGGCAGGTCTTGGGGGACTATATGTGGTGCCGGGGATTGAAGCTGAATCGCTGTATGTAGGGCAATACTATCACTCCAGACCTTGCTTCTTAAAGAACAATATAGTGAAAGTATTATATATCTCTATATAAAGTATATATGCAGATAGGTATAGATATTATGTATGTGTATGCATATATATATATTCTAAATAGAACTGAACTTTTCTTTTTGCCACATTGGTGGTGCTCAGGGCCCGCACTCAGGGATCACTCCCAGTGAGTCTTGGGGGATCGTAGGGGGTGCTGGGATTGAATCTCTGTAGGCTCTATGCAAGGCAAAAACTTTACTCACTGTACTATAGTCTTTGTTTATGTTCCAGTTCCATATTCTTTGTTTTTGAAGATGCTTTTCCTCCTCTTGCTAGTCTAGTTTTATTTGTATTCCTTCCATCTCTGTGGTGGGTGACTGTGGTCACGGTGTACCCTGGGGAGCACACTCTCCAGGCCTGTGCACTGGCTGCAGTGCTAGCACTCGGTGTTCTGTGTGCTGGAGAGCATGCGTTTGTCTGTTTCAGTGCTTTGGGTTCCAAACTGGATTGCTGCTGAGATCATGCCCAGTGCATCTGTGGCCCTCCCCAGGGGTCGGACTTGGGGCCTCATGCTCATAAGGCAGCTCTGGGTTCTGAGCTATCCCCACACCCCTGGCCAGAACAGCCCTTAAGAGTTCTTTTGGAAAGCAGGAGATGCAGCGAGATACAGCCAGGAGGGCATTTGCCTTGAACGCAGCTGACCCAGGCTCGATTCCTGGCACCCCATATGGTCCCCTGAGCCTGCCAAGAGTGATCCCTGAGCACAGAGCCGGGAGTGGAAGTCAGAAATTAGAGACTAACATACTGCTTTTAGAAAGACTGACGGTTTGTGGATGGAGATAGCTTAACAGGTTAAGCACATGCAGACCACATCTCCATGTAGCAGGCTCAGGGTCAATCTTTAGTACCACCTGGTTGCTCAAGCACTGCTGGGAATGACCCTTGAGCACAGAGCTAGGAGTAGCCCTCGAGCACTGCTGGATGAGGCCCAAAACCAGCTGAACACAAAAGGACATATTTTCCCCCTTCTATTGGAACATGATGCTATCAGGGCAGGGTTTTTGGCCACACCTGGTAAAGCTTGGGGCTATTGCTTAGAGCTTGCGTTACTCCCTGCTAGTGCTATGGGACCAGTGAAATCACATCTAACTCAGGCCTCCTGCATGTAAACTCTGCATTCCAGTCTGTTGAGCTGTCTACTGGCCCATTAATTGAATTGGTTGCATTTCTTTCTTTCTTTCTTGGGTTTGTTTTTCCCTCAGTGTTGTGAATTAAACTCAGGGCCTCAAACATGCAAGGCAAATGCTTTACTCCTGCACCATATCCCCAGCCTAGAACATGATATTTTTCTTAAGTTGAGTACCACATACAGTAGGTGGCTTACATGTAAGAACTGTATTATATAAATACTAGGACAACAGAAATATCAATAACAGTTCATTTTATGACTTTCAGAGCAATCTTTTAGGTAGTGTGCTATGCATTTTCCATATATTTAGTTCATCTTTCCCAGACCTCTAAGACAAAAACTATTCTTTTCACCCCCATTATGCAGAGAAGGAAAGTGAAACACAGAAATTTTAACAGTTCATGCAGCACCTCTTGGCTGGTGCGCTCCCCGCCATGAAGCCTGCTAGCTGCTTCAGAGTCTTTCTTGGCAGAGATCTGGAGGAGCAGGTTAACTGAAACTAAGTCATCTTAGATTACTTGGGGCTTCATTTCAGGATTGACAGATGTCATCTGTTCTGTGCTGTTTGAAAATAATTTCTCTCAAGGCCAGAGTGATTAATAACAACAGGTAGGGTGCTTGCCTTGCATGTGGTCGACCTGGATTAAATCCTCAGCATCCAGTATGCTCCCCCAAGCGCCACCAGGAGTAATTCCTGAGTGCAGAGCCAGGAGTAACCCCTGAGCATTCACAGATGTGGCCCCAAAACAAACAGTTTCTCTCTTTTTCTTCCCTTTTCACTTCAGTCATTATGTTAAATACATGTACTTGTGGCTTTATTGTAGTGATGTGCTTCTTAGAATTTGTCTAAGTCACTCTAAGTCACCTAAATCATTTCCTCCCACTGGGGAAACTTGAGGCAAACCTTCTTATTATATTGTCATATGTAATATATATATAATATAATATGATATAATATAATATATGTAATAAGGAACATCAGTGCAGCAACAGTACCTAACTAGATTTTGCTGAAATTTAAAATAAGCCACAATTTTGTTAAGGAAAGTAGCTGGATTAAATGGAATACAATCTTCTTACCTGATGTGGGTTGTAAATGGAACATAGTATTGTGAATTATGTTTCTCCATATCTTCATAGGTAAGAAAGTAGAAACAGGAAAGTTAAATGAACTTGCCATAGTTCTAAATACATAGTGACAGAACAGTAAATCTGAGTTACCAGTTTCCCCATTCTCTATACCTTTTTCTTTATAGCCGGTTTTTATTTGTGTTGGAACATATACATATATATAGGTAGATATCTACACATCTGTTTTTCTTTCAGAGTGCCTCTAAATCAGTTGCATGTCACCTTTCAACTATATATTTAAAGTTTGACATCATAGGTTTTATTGATATTTTATTGTTTAGAACACAAAAATAAAGTTTATATGATATGCCCAAGATCATATAAGCGATCTAGAGAGTAAGGACAAAAGCTAAAACTTTGTGACATTTTGCACTGTTCTACTACTCTGCCTTCCCTTAAGAAAAAGTGCGTTCTATAAGATTTATACAAATAAGTAGGGAAAAAATCTATTTCCGTTGCTTGAGGTTCCCTGAATAATTTTAATGTGTTGTACATTTATCACTCTTCCTTTTTTTCAAGTATGACAGAATATTCAAATTGTTGTTTAATATTTTCTAAATAAATATTTTTACATGTATTTCAAGTAAGTACAGTTCAAGTTAAAAGAGGTGAGACTTGTTTTTGGTCTTTGCTCGGCATTTTTCAGAATTACTTCAGATCGCTGGCATCAGTCCACATGGTAATGCTTTAGGAGCGTCAATGCAGCAACAAGTGAATCAACAAATACCTCAAGAAAAACGAGGAGGAGAAGTATTAGATTCTTCCCACGATGACATAAAACTTGAAAAGAGTAATATTCTGCTTCTTGGACCGACTGGGTCAGGTAAATAGCTGTGGGGAAATGTACTCCTCATTGTTAAAAATAGAATGTAAGTAATTCTGCCGTGTGTGTCTTGTGACGAGGGGTTCTTGCTCCCGAGAGAAAAATATAGTAAGAGGCATGCTAAAGCTAGCATAGTGTTAGATCTGGCTAATAATGAAAGGATGTGGGGCCAGAGCAGGTAGGGCGTTTGCCTTGCAGACGGCCGACCCAGGTTCAATCTCCCGCATCCCATATGGTTCCCCCAGCACCAGCAGGAGTGATTCCTGAGTGCAGAGCAGGCGTAACCCCTGAGCATCGCTGGGTGTGACCCAAAAAGAAAAAACAATAATACTAGTGAAAAGTTGTGGGAAAAGCAGTTGTTGAATTACGCTGTTCACGGTCACCTTATATTGTCGGGGCCTCCCTCCTGGTGGTTGACCAGTCAGTCCAGATTGCTCAGTCGTGCTGGGACGACAGGGGTGCTGATGTTTGCTGCGGGTAGGAGATTTCACAATTTTGTAGAGAAATTGTGTGCACAGCAAGTGTACTTTGATAAACTTTTCATTCCTATTTCTGTTTGTAGGTAAAACTCTACTGGCACAAACGCTAGCTAAATGCCTTGATGTCCCTTTTGCCATCTGCGACTGTACCACTTTGACTCAGGCTGGTTACGTGGGTGAAGATATTGAATCTGTGATCGCCAAACTGCTCCAGGATGCCAATTACAATGTAGAAAAAGCTCAACAAGGTATGATTTAGGCACTGCTTGTCTTGCCCCAGGTATAGGCTTTTGGAAAGGCAGTCTAATATTAAGTGATGATATTATTTTGTGTAAAGGAGAAAAATTCTCTCTGATCACATAAAATTTCTATGTTAAATATTTTCTAGGATATTGATTAAAGACCACACACTTTGTTTTATTATTGTAAGATTGCAATTAAAGTGAAAAGAGGCCAGGTTACTATTTGGTCTGTGCTTTTCCTGTGCAGAGAATCTATTGGGAGGGACCCTGGGCTCGGGGCACTGGCTGGACAGAAGAGTATCTCAGGTTTAAGCTTCAGCAGATTAGCCTATTGATCTATTGGATATCAAAGATGCTGCATTTCTCCATTCTCATCTTTCTCCTATCCTCATTTCCATGGAAAACTTGATAGTTTCTTGTCTGTATGGTTTCATGACAAGAAATGGGGCCAAAAACACACATAACTTGACAGGAACTTGATCTACAGACTCCCACATAATTTGTGTGGGAGGCTTGGTTTCAATCTCCAGTGCCACATATGGTTCCCTGAGTACCTCCAGGCTTGATACCTGAGCAATAAGCCAGGAGTAGCCCTTGAGAACTGCTGAAGGTGGCCCCCAGATTAACAAAATAAGTGAGAAGGAATAACTATACCTGTAACTCCTTTTTTCTCTCTATACTTTCATCTCAGCCTCCTCAAATAAAGCACCTGAAACAATGGAGTAGATAACTATCTTCAGAGAATTCTCATAAGCAAGTGATATTCTATAATACATAAAACATTCACCTAAAATGGTAATTGGGAGAGAGAGCAATATATTTTAGTAATAGACATTGCAAATGTTTAAGTGAATAATTTTGTTCTCTAGTTATGTAGACATTTAAAATTGAGGTTATCTTGTGTTTATCTTTTTCATATTATAAATAGAATCCTCCTTAAATTGTAGGAATTGTCTTTCTGGATGAAGTAGATAAGATTGGCAGTGTGCCAGGCATTCATCAATTACGGGATGTAGGTGGAGAAGGCGTTCAGCAAGTAAGCAGTTGAATATTTTGTTCGTCCACTAAAAGGAAGGGAATACATCAGCCTCCCAAATATTGTACGTTTGGTTTCACATTCAATTAGATTCTGTTTTGTTTATTTCGCTCATCCTAGATTCCACATGTCACTTGAAGATAGTTTAGGACTTAAGAGAAAGCTGTTGGTGATTTTAAACAGAATTACTTTTCTCAGGAAATTTCAAATATTGTAAAGAACAGGGGGAGAAATTCATTTTTTTTGGTTTGTATCTCAGAGACCCACCAGATAAAACATTTCAAAAGCAGGGGCTGGAGCCCATAGTACAGCAGGTTGGGCGTTTGCCTTGCATGCAGCCGTCTCTAGTTCTATTCCCAGCATCCCATATGATCCCCGAGCACCACCAGGAGTAATTCCTGAGTGCAAAGCCAGGAATAACTCCTAGGTATCGCTGGGTGTGACCCAAAAAGGGGAAAAAAAAAAACCCACATTTTAAAAGGAAAATTCCTGCTCTAACTAGACATAGATGAACTTACTCTTTTTGTTTAGAAAATAGAATTAAAGAGGCAGTGTACAGGAAGTACTTACATACCTTATATGCATCTGACCCTGGTTTGAATCCCTGCACTGCATATGGTCACTGAGCAATGCCAAGTATGACCCCAAAACACACACACAAAAGAGAAGGAAATAGGCTAAAACAGATAAATAGTTCATTACTTATAGAATCATAAAGTCATATGGGTAAACTGATCTTTTAATGAAAACTAATTATGATAATAACCTACAGGATAAGGAAAGTTGCTTTAGTGTTGGTAACCACAATATAGATACATTCATACTTATATGCTAACTAAAAAGTTTTCATAAAGTCATCTCAAAATATTTTTATTCTCAAAGTTTAATAGTGGGCGTAGAGTAGCATTTTAATTCAGATGAAGTACAAATCTTAACTATCTTCAAATTTTGAATGTTACCACCATGGTTGGGTACTACCTAAAATCACAATTCCATTTTTACTTGAAATCTGAATTACATCTGTACTACCAAAAACAGTCTCTTAGGTTGAATGTTCCTGAATGTCGTAGGGATCTTATCGCCATTTCCAATTAGATTATGAGTGATTGTTGCACAGGACATTGTCATGTTAGCTATGGGAATGTGGGATCTTATTTTAGTTCTGCTTCTTGATGATAACCACATATATTTTCCTCATTGAATCCATTATCTAAAGTATAGTAAGTAATGCACTTACATAATGATGCTATAAATCATTTGTTTTTCATTTAGGGTTTGTTAAAACTATTAGAAGGCACAATAGTCAACGTTCCAGAAAAAAATTCACGCAAACTACGTGGAGAAACAGTGCAAGTTGATACCACAAATGTGCTGTTTGTTGCATCTGGTGCTTTCAATGGTTTAGACAGAATCATCAGCAGAAGGAAAAATGAAAAGGTAAATTTTTTTCTGGGACGTTTGAAATTATAGAGAATGGACATTCAGCTTCTGTTCTCTTATCTGATGGATCATTTTTATCTTTTAATTGTTACTGTTTATGGGGGCCTCTCTCAGCAGTGCTCAGGGAAAGAAACCATGTCATTGGTGTCAGGGGTCAAGCAAGGCTTTACACATGCAAGGCTGTACCTCTTAAGCTTTCTCCTCTGCCTCAGTTGTATATTTCCAAGCGTTGATTTTCTTAAAGCATGCCAAAATTTTATATATATATATATATATATATATATTCCCTCCCCCCCCAATGACTCATCCTCGCACGGACATCTGGAAGAGTCTTCTGGAACTTGTTGATCTCTTTTGAGGTTTATTTATGAGACACAGACACTCTGGATCTGTGTCTACAAGTACTTATTAAACACTGTGACTTTTTTCCCATTAGGGGACCTCTTAAGTAGTCATGGAGAGCCCAGCAACACTCACCTGGCTGTGAGTGGAACACAGCTGAGTGTGAGGGACTCCTGGACCCAGCAGACCTGTGGGTCACCCAGGACTTCCAGTAGGGCTTCGGGGGCCAAATAGTTCTGGGGACTAACAGTGGAAGCTTCATGGGGCTGAAGCGATCGTACAGTGGGTAAAGTACATGCCTTGCAAGTGGTGGACTCGGTTTTGATCCCTGGCACCTCATATGACTCCCCAAGAACTACCAGGAGTGATTCCTGAGCACAGAGCCAGGAGTAAGCCCTGAGCTCTATTGAGTGTAGCCCCCTAACCCTGCCAAAATAAATAAGAGAAAAAAGTAAAAAAGTTGTGGGCTGGAGATAATACAGCCTGTCGGGCACTTTCCTTTCACATGGCTGACCTATGTTTGATCCCCAGAACTTCATATGGTCCCCTGAGTCCTGCCAGGAATGACCACAGCAAGCAAGCTGTGGTGTGTCCCCCCCCCCCACTAAAAAAAAAGAATCTGTGCAATGGGGGACAAATAGATGGAACTAGATATTGATTGTGTTCAGTTAAGTAAGAAGTAAGACGATTATGGGGCTGGGGCAATAGCATTGCGGGTAGGGTGTTTGCCTTGCACGCGGCCAACCTGGGTTCGATTCCCAGCGTCCCATATGGTCTCCTGAGCACTGCCAGGGGTAATTCCTGAATGCAGAGCCATGAGTAACCCCTGTGCATCGCTGGGTGTGACCCAGAAAGAAAAAAAAAAGACAATTATACTGGGTGGATTCACTCATTTGGAATGTAATTAACTAAAGCAAGCGGACTGGCAAAAAGCATCAAAATTAACTCCTAGACCTGGTCAAAAATGGTGATGCCAGAGGGAAAGGAATGCGGGCAGAGGTCTTTTTTGGTAGTGGGCTGGCACTGGAATTTTGATGTTGCTTGTGGTAAGTTCTATTTATATATACAGATGCATTAACCTATACTTCTAAAATTCTATATAATATGGTGATCTAATGATAAATCCATTGTCTAAGCATGACAGTTGCATTGAAGGACAAACATACAGGAAACTATGGCACTGTGGGACTAGAGCGATAGTTTCGCGGGGAGAGCACTTGCCTTGCATTTGGACTGTTTTGGGTCTGACCCCTGGCATCTGATATGGTTCCTGAGCACCACTAGGAGTGATCCCTATGCACAGAGCCAGGAGTAAGCCCCTAGCACTGCTAGGTTTAGTCCCAACTCTTCCACCCCAAATAATAAAATCAATGCTTATATATAGATGATATTTAGAAATATTTCAGTGTATGACTCTGGAAGTTAACAAATATAATTTTTTTAAAGTTTCATTTTTTTTTTATTTCGAATACCCATCCCTCCACCAGTGCCCATTTCCCACCACCACGGATCCCAATATCCCCCCCTTCCCCCAACTCTCTTTCCCCCCCTGCCTCTGTGGCAGGGCATTCCCCTCTGTTCTCTCTCTCCTTTTGAGTGTTGTGGTTTGCAAAAGAGTTAAGCCTGATTTTCAGGGAGAAATGTTGGATGATTTACTTTCATTGATCACTTTGTATATATAAGGAGATGTTGTGTGGCCACATAAGCGGCCGCGCGGTTTGGAAAAAATGTCCTGGTTCCCACATGCCTGAGCTATGCTTGTAGAGACTCATGGTCACCAGGGTTCCATCTGGAGAAGGTGGGAAGCGGCACCTACCCCATCTGGGACCTCCTGGTGAGATCGGCTCTGTTTGGGACCTGGAGCATTCTCCAGGATCTGTGGTGCCTTCCAGCGGTGTTCTTTGTTGCTGTGTGCTGTAACCAACAAATATAATTTTGAAGCCAAATCCCACTGCTTGGAATGAGCCTCATCCAGAAATTAATATGCTGAAGAACTGGTATGCAAGTTTTGTGAGTCCAGGCTTTCACAGAGTTGGGATGGGCTACCTCCCCCATCTCCCTGTGCATCCGGAAGTCCTGGCAGTCATGCCCATGAACCGTCTCCAGCGCCATGTAATCTCAGCTATTTGATGGTCTGTTGTCTGCCTTGGGGACTGGTACAGTTTACTACATATACTTGGACTTTATGCTGTAGTGATGCTTTAGTTAAGAAAAAATCCAACTTTTTTAGTGACGCAAAATAGTTTTTATTCAAATAAACTTATTTAGAAAGATGTGAAAGATGAAAAGAGTAGAGAGAAATACATGTTCAAGAGAGAACATGGGCTTTCTGGAGTCGAGAGGCCTTAATCCAGTTCTGAAATGTCTCATGTTCCACTGTTTTCTTAAACACCCTTACCTGCCCTAAACCAGTTTCTTTGTGACATGTGAATAATGATCCCTTTCTTCTCTTAGAAAAATCATGTGAGTTCCCCCCGGGAAACCCCTCCCTGCAGTTTCCTTACACTCATCTTCCTTCTCTTTGGCAGTACCTGGGCTTTGGAACACCCTCAAACCTGGGAAAGGGCAGGAGGGCTGCAGCCGCTGCTGATCTCGCCAACCGGAGTGGAGAGTCGAACACTCACCAGGACATTGAAGAAAAGGACCGTCTGTTACGTCATGTGGAAGCCAGAGACCTCATTGAGTTCGGCATGATTCCTGAGTTTGTGGGCCGGTTGCCTGTGGTGGTCCCTTTGCACAGTCTTGATGAAAAGACACTTGTCCAGATACTAACCGAGCCACGTAATGCCGTTATTCCTCAGTACCAGGCGCTGTTCAGCATGGACAAGGTGAGATTTCAGTTTTCCATCCTTAGGTACTTTCTCTAGTAAGTCTATTCTTTGATTCCTGTTCTTGCTCTTGAAACTGCATAAATTGACCAATCAATCAAAAATAATTCTGGCCTATTCCATGTTAAATAGGAATCTAGAGCCAGGAAAGAATATTGTGTAACATGAGACATTTCAGAATTGGATTAAGGCCTCTCGACTCCAGAGAAGCCCATGTTCTCTCTTGAACATGTATTTCTCTCTATTCTTCTCACTTTTTTTCTGCTCTCACATCTTTCTAAATAAGTTTCTTTTCATAAAAACTATTTTGCTTCACTAAAAAAATTGAATTAATTTTTTCTTAATTAAAAGCATCACTAGCATAAAGTCCAAATATATATAATAAACTGTACCAGTGCCCCAAGACAGACAACAGATCATAAAGTCATTGAGCTTTGATATATTACTCTTTTATTATTTATTCTTATGATTATTATTATTATTTTGGGTTTGGGGATATGCCCTGTGGTTGTCCAGGCTTACTCCTGGCTTTACACTCAGGAATCAGTCCTGGTGGTGCTCAGGGTACCATATGGATGCTGGGAATCAAACCTGGGTCTGCTGTGTGCAAGACAAGCACTCTACTCATGTACTTTCACTCCTGCCTGAATTTTTTTCTCTAAATGTTGTTTATATTTATTTTTTAAATTTTATTTCTATAAAGTAGTTCACAATATTTGATTACATTTAATATTTGAATACCAATCCCACCACCATTACACTTTCCCACCATCATATTTTGGATGTTTCCATTCCAAACCCTAATCCCTGCCTGAAAGCAGAACCGAAATAATTTATTTTGTATTGTTTGCTATGAATAAACTGCTGAAAATGCTCCAAAAAGCTTTCCTTAGAGGAGAGTGTGTGAAAATTGTTGTATTTCACCCAGGGGCCATTAAGCCCTTGTATAAGAGATTCCTAATACGTTGTTAAAGGTTGAGCCTTGTGTGTGTGTGTGTGTGTGTGTGTGTGTGTGTGTGTACATATATATAGTCACACACACACACATATATACACACATACACATATGTATATTATACACACATATGTGTATACACATATACATTTATATACATATATACACATATGAATATATATACATATACATATATGTGGGCTGGAGTGATAGCACAGCAGCAGGGCATTTGCCTTGCAAGCCGCCAGCCTGGCCGAGCCGGATTCGATTTCTCCGCCCCGCATGGCAAAGCCTGGCAAGCTACCTGTGACGTATTCAGTATGCCAAACAAAATAATAACAAGTCTCACAATGGAGACATTACTGGGCCCGCTCGAGAAAATCAATGAACAATGGGAGGACAGTGACAGTGATACATATATGTCTATGAATATCCTGCCTGGCAAGCTCCCTGTGGCGTATTCAATATGCCAAAACAGTAACAAGAAGTCTCACAATGAAGATGTTACTGGTGCCCGCTTGAGCAAATCAATGAACAACGGGAGGACTGTCGATTTCCTCAAGCGGGCACCAGTAACGTCTCCATTCGTCCTAGCCCTGAGATTTTAGAATTGCCACATTGGAGGCTCTTTCAGGGTCAGGGAAATGAGACCCATCATTGTTACTGGGTTTTGGCATATCAAATGCGGTACAGGGAGCTTGCCAGACTCTGCCGGGCGGGCAGGATACTCTTGGTAGCCTGCTGGGTTCTCTGAGACGAGAACTAGACAATAAGAAGTCGCTTCCGGGAGCTGAGCTTGGTTTTATAGTTTCTGGATCTTGGCTATTGATGGGATTACACGGCGCCAGGGACAGTTGGTGGGTATAACTGCCTAGCTACTGGAAGATGGGGGATCTGGGTTGAGGAAACCCAGCCCCGATCTGAGCAGGCTTGGAGATCTCAGCCCACACACCTGGGTTCCTCTGCCAGTTTCTTCATGTGTAAGGCTCGTCTGAGCATGTGGAGAATGGTCTTAAGCATGGCTGTGGCTGGTTCTGGAGGTCTTCAGCTGCCAGGGCTCTGCTCGGGGCGGGCCAGGGAGGGAAACTCACCCTGTCCCCCCTCCAAGGGGCCCCGGTGAGGATAGCCAGGTGTGGGGGGCAGGAGACTCTGCATATATACATATCTATATATATATACATATCTATATATAGATACATATATGTATATCGAGGTAAAGGTAAAGGCCCTCCCGTTGATCGTCGATTTGCTCGAGCAGGCCCAGTAACGTCTCCATTGGAGACTTTGTTGTTACTGTGTCTGGCATATCGAATACTCTCGGTAGCTTGCCAGGCTCTCCGAGAGGGGCGGAGGAATCGAACTCTGGTCGGCCATGTTGGCTGCGTGCAAGGCGAACGCCCTACCCGCTGTGCTATCGCTCCAGCCCTTATATATAGATATATACATATACACACATACATTTACAGATATATATGCACACATATATTTATATATAAATATATTTTATATTTAACATATTTTATTATTAAATATAAATATATATTTCCCTCTACCATTGGTTGCCTTTTGCTTTAAACCCCATCAAATGTGGTGTGCTACTCTTAGAATATGAGTAGTGTGAGGTATGAGGTGTCATGCGGTCCAGGGATAGGTTTACTCGTGGTGAAGTTCGACCCAATCGTGGAGAATGGCCATGAGTATGGCAGAGGTTGAGTTCTGGAGGCTTTTGGCTGCTGGGGCTGGGTCCCTTGGGGCAGAAAGTGACCTCACCTGTCCACCCTCTGGGGTGCCCCGAATGAAACAGCCTGTGCGGGGTCCAGTGGCATGGCTATGACGAGTCGTTTTATGCTCTTCTGAGAGAAGGACAATGAGTCTCTAGATCATGGCTGTTGGTGAGATTATCTGCCTGCCTGAATTTTGATATTTTAAGTGCTTTAATTTTGTTTTAAATGTTTAATCTTCCATCTTATTAGTTCCCCTGTCTACTTTTCTCTCTATAACCAGACCATTGGTGCTCATTTATGCCCTTGCATCCCATCATGGTGTGGATACGTTGGGTTTTATGAATTTGGCATCTCTAAATATCAGTCCCTGCTTCATTACCACTACTTCGTGTCAAGATCCTTTCATTCTTCACCTTGCCCTATGCATTTTGTTTCTAATTATGTCTTCCTGTATGAAATCTGTCTTTGACCATCACCACTGAGATACTTCCCATTTTTGTTCCAGGATGAATCACTTTAAAATTATTGAGCTGCAGTGTAAAAGTAGATCTTGAGTACTTAATGTCCATCATGTGCATAAGCACAAGCTGATTCTTTTCCCCTCTTGAAAGTCCTGCAGTGTTCCCTTGCCTTACTCAGCTTCCCTCATTATAGTGCTCCCTTAGTACCAGGTATGAGGTGAATACACCGTGCTGAGTGCTGATCAGCTGCCATCCAATAGACGGTGAACAGGATTCCTAGAGGGGGAAGAAAGTGTCTGATTCATAATAGCTTTATAACACAAGTATCGAATAACATTCTAGAGCATCTGTGTTAACTAGAAAACCTCAAGGAATGAGGAAAAACCTGGGATTCTCCATACTAATTCTTCCTCGTAGGTTAATGGAGAAAAACAAATGCTTCTTGAAGGCAAGGAAGATAGTTATCTCCATTAACCTTTTTTTTTTTTTTTTTTTTTGCTTTTTTGCGTCACACCTGGCGATACACAGGGGTTACTCCTGGCTCTGCACTCAGGAGTTACTCCTGGCGGTGCTCAGGGGACCATATGGGATGCTGGGAATCGAACCCGGGTCGGCAAACGCCCTACCCGCTGTGCTATCTCTCCAGCCCATCTCCATTAACTTCTACATTTTCTGGTAGACATGAATAACACAAAATTGTTTAACATCAATCTCCTGTGAATTAAATGATTCCAAAGTATTGTGATTTGGAGGAATATATTCTCAGTAGTTTGAACTCTGCTTTGAAATATGTAGTAATTTAGAGACTTGTCTAAAGATTAACCTTGATCTAAGGACAAGGGGGTTATTAGTGATTCTCTTTAAAAGATAGATATGCCAGGCTATAGTGATCAATAAAAGATAGATCAAGGAGCTGGAAAGAAGCACAATGGGTAGGGTGCTTGCCTTGCACATGGCTGACCCGGGTTTGATCCCTGTCAATGCATCTGGTACCCTGAGTCCTGAGCCCAGAGCCATAAGTAAGCCCTGAGCACCAATGGGTAGGATTCCCCAGCTACCCCCCCCCCCACCCCGCCGCTGCCAAGAAAGAAAAAGAGAGGGGGAAAAAAAGTTATTTTAGGGGCCTAATGACCTTAAGGATCACGTTTCTCCTCAAAGAAGCTGATGAGGCTGTCTGAAAGGGGTAGAATCAGTGAAGACAGGCAATTCTGTGTGACGCTTTGTTTTGAATTAAATAAAGTTTAAATTAGTGAACGTAACTCTTTGGAACATTTCTTTTTGAAACCGGACTTTAGTTCTTTTCTGTTCAAAAAAGGTCAATAATGGAGGTAGATAGTGGAAGTACATTAAATGTTACAGTAGAACAATATCAAGCTACACCTAAGCTCTCATCTCTCTGTAATGTCTTTGCAGTGTGAACTGAATGTTACTGAGGATGCTTTGAAGGCGATAGCCAGACTGGCACTAGAACGAAAGACTGGTGCACGTGGCCTTCGATCCATAATGGTGAGTTGACATTATCCTATAGAAACTCGACTGTTTCTTAGTCTGAGTGTTGAGAATATCAAGTCCTTCCTGTTTTCCTTTTGGAAATATATCTAGAGAATTAACCGGACATTTTGTGATTTTTTTTCTTTGTTTAAATATCATAGTAGATTTTTTTCTGCTTTCTTTTAAAAATTTTTTTTATTGAATTACTGTGAATTACAGAGTTACAAAGTTTTTTGTTTTGTTTTGTTTGGTTTTTTTAATGGGAGGCTTTGGGGCCACACCCAGCAATGTGGTGCTGGGTGCCAGTGATCAAACCTGGGTGAGCCACATGCAGAGCAAGGCGCTCTGGCCACTGTTTTATCATTCTGGCCCTACATTACCTTTTTTTTTAAAAAAAAATATTCAATTCTTTGTACATAACAGGGACTTAATAATATGAAATTAATGAATTCAGTAGCCCATAGAATACATATAGTTTTAGTGTAAACTTTTAAAGTTTTCCATGTGATTCATTCTTTTATCTCTTTAGGAAAAGCTGTTACTAGAACCAATGTTTGAAGTCCCTAATTCTGATATTGTATGTGTGGAGGTTGACAAAGAAGTAGTAGAAGGGAAAAAGGAACCAGGATACATCCGGTAATGTATTGTAAAGCAAGGACAAAGCTAAAGCTTTATAGCTCTTTACTGATTTGGTTTATCAATCTGTCATGAAAATTGTATAAAATCCTTATAAGGGAATAATATAAATTTTATGTAGAAACATCCTAGAATTTGTTTACAGAATAATGTTTTGCAAATCTTTGAAAATAGATCTTCAAAATTAGCCTCTACTTCCCCCCTCTAGAGATGTAACTCAAATGAAGAGATGTAAATTCTCTGCTAATTCTCTAATTTGTGAATGACTCATTTCAGACCTTCCACAGAATTTACTTTGTTGACATAACTTTCCTCTTTCATCAGTTGACAAATTTGATGCATCTTCCACTACTTGATTCTTCTGTTCCAAGGTTCAGAAACTTTTTCATAAAGAGCTAAATATCTTAGGGCCATATTGTCTATATCACACCTATGTCACGCCACCTACATGAAAGTAGCATGAAAGTAGCCAGAAGGGGTCCATAAACCAACAGCATTTCCATTCCAAGAAACCTTCATCCAGCATACCATTAGGGGTGGGGACAGAACTCAGTGGGAGAGCATAGTGTGCCGCCTCTGTGAGGCCCTGGGTTTGATTCCCTGCAGCACACACACAGAGGCATACGCTGCACATATGAACACACTGGACTTTATTTTACTTAATTGACCCCTGACTTAGTTAATAAATACTATTATATAGTTCTTGATATCAGTGGTACTTAAAGTACAGATTTGTTTTACTGAGTCTTAGGGTATGTTTTATGTTCATTTTTCTTCTTTTTTCCCAAATTTTTAACCAAAATAAACTGGCAGTGTTTAGGGGCTACTCCTGCTGTCTCTGACTTTGTTGCAAGAAAGTTGCTTCCCGCAGTGCTCAGGAGACCATGCAGTGCTGAGAATCAAAGCTGCGCCTCTAATGCAAAGTGTGCACGCAGCCCTTTGAGCTGTCTCCTGTTTTCTTATCTCAAAATAACTTGAAGTTTTGATTTAATTTGAACAGTTTATTCAAATAGACATGTCCTATTTAAGGCTGTTAGTATAGTGTAACACTTCATTTCTTTTTTACTGTGTGACTTTAAAAGGTATTCCTGTAATCATTTTGATTAAGGTGAATGGAGTTAGGTTTGTTCAGAAAGTATCAACTTCTTTACCTGTGCTAATGTCAAGCACTTGGGTTGAGATGCTTGTTTCTAAAAATAGCAAGTTTCAATAAGCAAGAGGTCATCTTCTTTAGTTTGTTAGATTCTCTTACTGGATAAGTGGGTTTGTTTTGGGGGGCCTCTCAAGCAGAGGCCACCAGGGCTTTCCCCAGTGATAATCAGAGACTGTGTAATAGGGGAGATCAGACATATGTTTGCCAGGCATATGTGCCACCCCTTTGAGCCCTGGAGAAATAGGTAGCACTGTAGCCAAAAATAGTAACAAGTCTCACAATAAAGATGTTACTGGTGCCCGCTAGAGCAAATCGATGAACAAAGGGAGAAATAGGGGGAAAAATTGTTTTTCTCTTTTATAGGGGCCACTTGGCACATGAATTGCATGGTCTATGGCATCAGGGCCAGAGATGCTTAAGGTGCCCCCAAGTATACTCCTGGGGGCCAGGGATTAGACAAATGTAGGGCAAGTGCCTTACCTCTTTACTAAGCCTTCACACTTCAAGACTTACCTCTTTATTTCAGTGGCACATGTTAAGGAAAATACTTGAAAAACCACATCTAATTCTACAGATACTGTCAGTAAAGTTTGTGTGATGCACTCTAACACTTTGTACCTAAGACTCCAATCTAGGTAAAATAGTAAAATCAAATTTTGCAAAATTCAGTACTCATATTTCTATATATATAAAATCACCATTCATTGACCAATGTTGTCTACGTCTATTCAGAATATTAAACACTTTTATATCTCTACTGGTAAAAATAAAGGACTTAATAGTAAGATGATAACAGCATTTATGAGTTATTCTGTTGGCTGACATCAGCTTTTGAAGATGTGACTGCTATAAGTTTGCTAAATATTGTATAGAACAGTTGCAAACCAAAGTCTGACTAAAACCATAAAATGTTCAATAACTCGAATTCTTATTGATTTTATTCCTAAACTTGCATTGTTTGGTACAAAGAAGAAAAATACATGAAAAATACTTGCAATTGTTGATGTGTGATCTAAGTGTCTTCTCTGCTTTACCAAGTAAATCTTAATATTGCGGGTGCTCTTAATATTTTCTTTTTGTGTACAGCAAAGTGAGGTAAGTTAATGAGGGTAAAAATCATATTTACTCTTACTTTTTTTATTAAAACAAAGTCATTTTGTTGTAGGGCTGCAACGAAAGAATCATCTGAAGAGGAGTACGACTCAGGAGTTGAAGAAGAAGGATGGCCTCGCCAGGCAGATGCTGCCAACAGCTGAACTGTCAGGCGCTGCTGCCCTGTATATAAAGCATTTCCTTTTCACTAGGGTCGTGACTGTCTTTTCCATTTGCCATTAAAACCAGTGGATCTCTCGGATATCATACATGGTCAGAGCCTTTAAGATAAAAATCAGATCATGTATACTATGTAACATCACATTGATTTATACAGAGAACATTGTGTGGACTTTAATGACACAGTGTTCAGAGATTTAAAAAAAGAAAGTATATTATTTTGGTTCCATTTTTTTTAAAATATGCTTTAACAAAATTCTCAGCCGAACGTTCTTTTAAGCAATGCAGGTATTGCAGTAACTCAATTTTACAATAATGTTACTCTACAAATGGGAAAACAAATTGAAGATTAGGGTATAGTTCTTGAGTTTAACCAGATTTTTTTCCTGAAAATGAGAATTTTATTCATTGGGGAAAAAAGGAATAGATAGTTTCCAAGCAGTCGAGCGTTTTATGGAAAAGAACCCCATCCCCCTCATATTTCATGGACAAAGGAAACACCTCACCACCATCACCATATTTTGTTGATTTGTTTAGCTGCATTCTTAGTTTTAATCTGCTAATGCATGACACTAACTTTCCAACTGGTACTGTGAGAGAGAATTATTCTTGTGAACTAAATTGACTGTCATCTTTGAACCGGAAATGAGCAGATGGAATTGAAGTCTGCCTTAAATCATTGGAAAAAAGATTACCTACACATCTAATTCTAAAAGTAGGATGTAACATCAGGCAAACATATTGTCCTATTTTATAATAGTTCACTTACCTAAAAGTACTTTGCTCATTTAGCTTTTTGGTGCTGGATACTTCTTTGGCTTCATAGAACAGTTTTTAAAAATGTTTTGCTTGCAGCAGCAATTAATGTGTTAACACTAAAATGTGTTACTAACTCCCATTATAGAATAAAACTAAACAGTTGGAGAAAATTGGAAGACTTAAAAATCAATTGGTTTTACTTGATTCCATAAATTAATTACTAAAATATTTGGATACCTTTTAAGCCTTTTTCTTCTAGAATTCTGTTACACGTTTCTGTATTAGTCACTTAGTTCAGCCTCATTGGAAATTGTTAAAATCAGAGTACATTTAAATATCTGTCTTTAATTTTTTTGGTTTATAGACTTGATTTTTCTGTTACTCCTTAAAAAAAGAACCTTGAGCTGTTAGAAAATTCTAAGTCCTGTTGATGAAGAGTTGGGCTTTCTATGATGTGATGTAGTAAGAGATGTGAGAGATACTATTAATGACTGGAATAGGACCAGAAATGTACTTTATTTGCAGGGTGTTGAAAACTGGTTGCTTTAGTATGAAACAAACAGGCTATCCTTCTTTGTCTCTCTAGTAATCCTTAAAGGTCTTCTCAGGAAATCTGTCATATATAACTGTTCATTATCTTTCTCTTACAGTATCATCATTTTCCTTTTTGTAGAGTGAAATTTGGAGTAGCTTCTAAAGATATTAAGGGTACTCTTCCAGAAATGAACTGGAAGACACATGTGACTACACAACAACTCACACTTGGTTTGGAAGTTGTTAACAAGGCATAATCGATGTTTTTAAATCAAACACAACTGAGTATATCTACAATTTGTATCTTGGAACATATGTTCTGGCATTTGAATAAAACAAAAGGACTAAATAAGAGTGTGGTGGTTTGTCCATAATGTGCCATTTTTTAAAAAACTTTGTTCTCTGTTCTGATTGCTTAGTCTTTGGCACTTCCATGTCACTCTGAGAAGTTCTACTAGTTGTAGTTTCCACAACAAAAAGCTAATCAAGATTATGTTGAACTTTGACTCAAAATCTGTGTCCTGCATGATCCTCACGCTAGGGATACAGGAAGTTCATTAGCTAACAGGGGACGCAGACACAAACTTCAGACATTATAGCAATGGAAATGAGATGGGTTCCAGGTCTGGTGGCACAGAAGTTAGTTATCCTGGTGAGTTTGAAAGAACAAGTAGGAGTTTGCCAGAGAGTGTTAGTGAGAATAAGTTTCGGAAATATTAAACAACTAGGGCACTTGAGGAGTTGATAAATAGGCTGAAAGATGACTTTTGTGATACACTACCTTCCTTCTCAACCAACTGAGGACTTTGGCAGTTTCATGGAAAAACCAAACTATAAGATGATGGAATTCATCGATATTTCTACCCCCAACTGCCCAATCCTTTATTTTTTCTTTGCCATGCTGTGGTTTGAACCCAGAGCTTCACACGTTGAGAGTACCCTATGACTGAGTTACTGCCCTGCTCTGTAGTGCCCAGATCTTTCTAGTTAAAACCGAGGGATTCCTCTTATCAAAACTCAGTCACTCCGCATTATATGAGGACACACACCTCCCTATCTCTGAAGACTTGAATCTTACAATCTTTTTTTAATGACCTTCTTCCTCTCCTGAAACATTCCCAGCAGTTGTAAACTGCCCAGTATTTCCTGTTCTGTCCCAAGTCCCAAGCTTATTTTTCACGTCTTTCCAACATAAATCCACTAGAATGAGACGTGTTTTCATGAACTAATCAGCATCTACCATAGTGCTTCTATATTTTTGGTATTCCATACATTTTGTTTTAGGGGGAGGGGCTGGGGATATACCTTAAAACTCAGTGGTCATCCCTAGCAATGCTTGGGGACTATCTGTGGTGCCGGGGATTGACCAGGGTCAGCTGCATTTGTTTTAAACAGGTTTATTTTAAACATTTAAATAGAATGTCCTATTTGTCCTAAACTATAATTTTGTACAGGAAATACCAGGCATTATTAAAATCAGGAGAGCTGGATATTAAACCACATTGGATACATGGTTTAGATTATTGGGGAGGAAAAGTGAGGAAGATGAGGGAAACAGGACGAAAGGTCTGTCATATCGCTACTTTAGCACTAGCTCCCCATGTACCTCTTATCGGTTGCCTTTTTTTTTTATTTTTAAATATTTTATTTCTTTATTGAATCACTGTGGGAAAAGTTACAGAGCTTTCAGGTTTAGGTCTCAGTCATGTAAGTATCAAACACATTTCCCTTTACCAATACTTCTTTTTAACCGTGAACCCCAATAGAACCCCACCTCCCACCCCTCCCAATTCCTGTGAGGCAGATGAGTTCTAGTTAATACTCTATCTACTTTGACTAGATACATTGTTTCGATAGAAGATACACAATTATTGTTTAGAGTTTACAAACCCCCCCCATCAGATATGCTGAAACAGTGTTGTGAAATGATTTGCTTTCTACAGCTTGGTTTAAGAATAAAATGATGTCACGCGGCCGCTATTGCAGCCGCGCGGTTTTGGATTTCTGCTGTTTCACTTATTAACCCTGGAAGTATTTCTATTAAAAGGTAGATAGTTAAGAGATTGGTTTCTGTGCTCTGGAGTCGTGGCCGTGCCAGAGAGCCGCTCGTGGGGGGCAGCTGGTGACCTCGGTCGGGCGTGAAGGACGGCCCAGAACGCCCCCCTTCCCATGAGGCCCCCGCTGCCCCCCGCCCCCAGCTCAAACCTGCTGTCCACAAGGCTCCCGTGCAGCCGCCATCTTTCTTTCCAGAGAGGAGTGGGCGAGCGGGACATCGGTTGCCTTTTTAAAAAAATAACTTCATTAAGTGATTAGTTTTAGACATTCAGTATCCCAACACCAGTCCTACCACCATTGCAGCACCTTCTTGCCACCATTATTTCCAATTTTCCCAGCCCCCCTTCCTTGAACCTGTCCCCATAGCAGGACCTCAGTAATTTATTTTAGGGGCTGGAGCAATAGCACAGTGGGTAGGGTGTTTGCCTTACCCGTGGCCGACCTGGGTTTAATCCCCTGCATTCCATATGGTTCCCTGAGCACCACCAGGAGTGATTTTTAAGTGCAGAGCCAGGAGTGACCCAAAAAGCAAAAAAAAAAAATTATATTGCTTGTCATAAATAATTTGCTAAAGGGATCATCAAAAAATGCTTCCTTAGGAGAAAGTTAGGAAAGATTGTTGTATCTGACCATGGAACCCTTAAGCCCTTAATTACTAAAATGTTGCAGGTTAAGCCTTTTGTTTTAATCGAGATGGTTGCCTTCTACATTATATCTCATCCAATCTGGTGTGCTACTCCTGGTTTATCAGTGTTAGAGTTTGAGATATTATGTGGCCGAAATCACAGCTGCCCACTCCAGGGTGTCCAAGTTTTCTGGGGTTTTTTTTTTGGGGGGGGGTCGCACCCAGCGATGCACAGGAGTTACTCCTGGTGCATGCACTCAGGAATTACTCCTTGTGGTGCTCGGGGAACCATATGGGATGCTGGGAATCGAACTTGGCTCAGCCGTGTGCAGGGCAAATGCCCTACCCACTGTGCTATCGCTCCAGCCCAGTTTTGTGTCCAAAATTTCTAAAGGGGTGATTCAGCTGGAGATAAATCCTTAACTGACTGGTGGCTTTGGTGAATGTATGTTACTGCTGGGCTTCCAGAGGTACAGGGAGATGTAGTATGGTAGCCCATCCCAGACTCCATGCAAGAAGATTTCAGTCACAAAACCCACATACCTGAGTTTTTCAGAAAATTAATATCTGGATGGGCTGGAGTGATAGCACAGCAGGTAGGGCGTTTGCCTTGCAACATGGCCGACCCGGGTTTGATTCCTCCGTCCCTCTCGGAGAGCTCAGCAAGCTACCGAGAGTATTCTGCCCACACGGCAAAGCCTGGCAAGCTACCCGTGATGTATTCGATATGCCAAAAACAGTAACAAGTCTCACAGTGGAGACGTTACTGGTACCCGCTGGAGCAAATCGATGAACAATGGGAGGACAGTGCTACAGAGCTACAGTAATATCTGGATAAGGCTCATCTGAGCAGTGGCGTCCGGCTGGGTGCATTGTAGTGATTGTGGAGTGTGAAGGTTTTCAGCTTCTAGGGCTCTGTTTGGGCAGGTGTGGGTCTTAACCCACCCACCTCCTGATTGCACCTGAACTACTCAGCCTTGTATGGGATCCGGAAGAAATTCTTCCACTTATACATCTCTTTTGAGATTTATTTCTGAGTCTCTGGATCATGGCCGGTCGCCTTTGATTTTTCAGACCCATTCCCATCATGTTGAAACAAACTCCCTGCACAATAATAAGATGACAGACTTGTCCTGGCCAATCCCTTCCAGGCTTTAATTCTGTATGAACTAACAAGCTGGTTTTAGTTTAATGTTTCTTTGGTTGTAGTACACATGACGGTCTCACCTGTGGTGCTCTGAATCAGGGATACTGGAGGCTATTCTGTTCTACTAAGCCTGCCAGAAAATGATGGGTTAGATTAAGATGGATAAAGTAGAAGTGGAACAATTAGATGTGTAGGTTTTATTGCAAATCTTGGCAAATGGCATCCCATGTGTTTCAGTGGAAGCACTATCATAACAACTGTTATCTTGACATGTAATATTCTAATAAAGTGTCAATAAGTTTAGATTAAAATCTAGGGAAGCAGATTCTAAAGTTCATAATGGAAAACTATACAGATGGTAAACAAGCAATAGGACTTGCTTGTATACAAAGTATACACTTTGTGTCACTTAACTGACAGTATACAGTTTGTGTCACTTAACTGTCACATCTGTGAGCTAGATACTATTGTTAGTTTCTAATACAGAGAAAACTGAAGCCCAGAGTAGCTAAGTGGCTTTCTCAAGGCCAAGCCACTCAGTTACTAACAGATAGAATTTAACACCCACTATACTGTTTCAGGACTGTTTCAGGATAATAAATCGATCGTTTATGATCTTGATGAAGAAGTCTGACCATCTGGTAGGTGGGCGGCCACGTGGTCTTTTGACATCTCGTGGAATCCAGTCGGTAAGAGCTCTAGTCCAGCGGTCATCTGGCTATAGGGGAAGGATGAGGGAAGACTGGGGAGATGGTTCAGCAGGCCGAGTACAGGCACCACATAGTTCTAGCAATACCAGGAGTGACCTCTAGTCAGGTGTGGCAAAAACAGAGGCTGCCTCTTACCTGTTTTTGGGGTCACACCTGGCTGTGCTCAGGGGTCACTTCTGGCGGTGATCAGGAATTCAACCTGCTGTATTATCACTCCAGTCTTATCTCATAAATTTAAAGCTAAGAACTGAGCCAGAATGACTGTGCAGTGGATAAGGCACTTGCCTTGCACACAACCAACCCAGGTTCAATTCCTGGCACCCCCTACAGTCTCCAAACCCTGCCAGGAGTGATCCCTGAGCTCAGAGCCAGAAGAAAGCCTTAAGCACTGCTGACTGTGACCCAATCTCCATCTCACCCCAAAAGGAAAAACATGTTTAACAATTGCTCATTTTAAAGTATAAATTAAAAATCACAATAATGGGCTAGAGAAGGAGTAGTGGGGTTAAGGTTCATATACGGCCCATTTTGTTGTCACCCCAGGGCACCACAGGACCTCCTGAGCAATGCAGCCCCAAAGTCTCACCAGCCAAGAACTGCTGGGCAGTGCCCCCAAGAACCCCCCCATTATAAAAAAGTAATAAAAGTGTAAAATATCACTACACACCTATCGGGGTACAAAAATAGCAACAAAGGGTGATTAGGATGCAGTCTCCAGAATATTGCTGGTGGGAAAATACAATGGCAATAATCACTGGGGAAGATGTTTTCACAGGCTGATTTGTTTCGGGGCCACACCTGATGGTGCTCAGGGTTAACTTC